GAAATAAGCTATGCAAATTAAGCCACGTTAATCATGTAACTTATTTTGAAATTGGGAGTGTCTACACAGCATTTATTTCAAAAGAGTACTCTTCCTCTGACTTCCCTTACTCCTCATACAATGAGGTTTACAGGACAGAGTAGGAAGTCTTCCAGCTTGACAGTATTTCAACATTATTTCAAAATAATTGCTTACTGTGTGGACGTGGACTCAGTTATTTCAAAACAATGCTAGTTATTTCAAAAACATGTTGCTGTGTAGACGTACTCCCAGAGAGTTTCTATAGGGATTAATATTACCCCCTACCTTTTGTTTGGTGTTATGAATTAAGATGATATTCTTACAGCATCCTGTAGTTCAGAAAAAGAAGTTGAACACTATGTTCTGAATTTAAATTTCCACAAAACCATCTGTACATGAACCAACCACTCTATTGCCACTTCACAATTTTGAGACGACTTCCTGGCTTTTGACAGCCAGGTCTGAGTAGGACTGAGTGAAAGTTGCAGATGTTTAGCAAAACAGCAATTGATAACTGTACAGTATGGCATCAGACATTTGCTGGTAAGATTTTTCCATCCTGTATCTGCTTTTATTAGTGTTAAACAAAAGCCTGCAGAAAATGTAGGCTCCAAGGAAGCCATATTTACCTTCAAGTCTCAAGCATTCTATTAATTGGGTTAAGGACAGAGTTGAATTAATAATAAAACTCATAACTGATAGAAAATATTCAACAAGATCGCCAGGAGAGATTCTAGGAAGATTGCAATTACTGAAGCATGTCATTATTTTCTCTCCATTAAAAAGCTTAAGAATGATGCTAACATGAGGTATCTTGAAATTTCTTGGCACAGTGGAAAACACAGAATAGGTACCGTTTTAGTCATTTCCCAGTTAATACGCATTTTCTAGACCTAGCAAAAGACATATGACTTTTAAGTCTTGTCTGCACTTAGAAATAGCTCAAAATAGCTATTCTGCAATAGTTCCCTGTGGGTACATCCACACTTGCTCCCTAGTTAGAGTTAGGGATGCAAATGTAGCTGACTGAAATTGCTAATGAAGCGGGGATTTAAATATCCGGCGCTTCATTAGCATAATCTCGCCCATGCGTTATTCCAGTCAACAGCTGATTCGAACCAGGAAGTGTGCTCCGGGACGCGTTAGGTCGAATCAAACCCCTTGGTTTGAACTAACGTTACTCCTCAAAAAATGATTCCACACAATCATACCTTTATGCACTTTGATTAACCTAAAATGGATAAAGCTGAACCACAAAGACACACCTTTAGTGAAGAATAAATGTGTCCACATGGGGATTTACAGTGGAATAGTTATTGAGCTTTAAATTCATACTCTAGTTTATTTTGCAATAGCTTCCACATGTAATGAAGTCCTTATTCTACAACTTTCATGTTTTTCAAAAAGACTTTCAGAAGGCCAATTAAACTCAATCGTTATATCCCGAAATGTGCTGAATTTATCTTTGATAAAGGACAATATCACAAAATGCCAAAATTGGGGTCAATACGTTTACACTAGCAGAATAAAATGAAGGCAGTTTATGAAGTACCCTAGAATACTTATTGCTGAAACCTTTGAAGAGTACAGTCACTTAAAAACAGTAGCATCAGACTTTAAGTGGCCAAGTTATAACTTAATTGGGAGGATTTATCCTTGTTACCAACTCCTACAATTTTATCGCGAGTCTCACTATATATATGGTATTTAAGCCTGGCTCTTAGATTCATGTTGTGTGAGAATCACAGATTTCACTGAAGAAGAAATGTTTCCACCCCTCATGGTTGCGTAGGAAAAGCATGAAAACACACAGCCTGCTGGCTCCAGCTCCAGAAAACAAATAAAAAGAAAGCTGACTGATTCATGGTTGTTGTTTTATTTAAATGCCTGGAATTGGCAATACAATTTCTTAGTCACACTGGTGTGGAATCAACTGCTGCATAAAGGACCAGCACAGAGCTCTGAAGCCCTATATTGAGAGTTGAAACGCAACTAAAGAAGCACATAAGCTTCGTGCTGGATTTCTACACAGATCGTCACCCAACAGTGACTCATTTTTTGCCGGTCTCCCAACCTGTCAAAGATAATTCTCCTTAATTAGAAAGGAAAAACGCATATTAATGGTTTCAAAAGGATTCTGTTGAAAGCAAGTATGTTCTAGTTATTTCATGCATTTCAGGGGAGTTTCATCAGCTATTATTGCCTGGAAAATTCTGGCATGAACTAAGGAAAGCTTCAGGACCTACAATGGAGTGTTAATGAGCACACAGCGTGTTGTGCAAGTTTCTAGGATGAAGGTTTGTTTTATTTTGTGTTTCATGCACTTACCACAGTGCTGTAGTTTGGATTCACAACTTGACAGGAAATAATTAGTTAGTAAAAATATTTATTTAATTTCATGAAAACATCCCCATCGGGCTTTCAAAAGTACATTTTTAAAGCCTGATGTAAATATAAAAACTGGCCCTACAGACTACCTGACCATGTTCCTGTAATTCTTGACTGTGTATTGAGAAGTTATACAACAATTCCAACATAGTTCTATTGACAATCATTGCTTGAAGGGATCCTGCACTAGTATTTACCAGTACAAACAGATGTGTTACTGGACAAACATATATCATGAAAATTTAAAAGATCCCATAACAGATTTCTTCTTGTTAGTGACCATTTCTCACCCTGTTCATTATTAGATCAGTCCTGATGAAAGAACTATAGACACAGCATTAGCAGAAGGCTCAGTACTAAGGATGCTAAATGGTTACCAAGCCCTTGATAGTGAACTCCAGTTGCACAACTGGAGGGGGCAGTAGGTTGGATGGTGGAACCCAGTGGTGGTGGTGGGGCCTCCCAGCCATGGCTGGACATCAAAGTTACGGCCACATTGGTGGGCCAGGCAGCAGGCTCTAACTTAACTGGTTAACCGATTAAGCACTAGCATTTACCTGGTTAACTGTTTTGTCATCCCTACTTACTACCATCCCTGAAAGTTTCAGACTTTCTCTGAATTCAGTCCAAAGTAATGTTAATAAGCAGTGAATTATTTCTGATCTTTGAGCCCACCTGTGCTCTTTCATATGGAAGCTGAATTCCCAAGAAACTGAATTGGATCCTGCATCTACACAATGAAGAGCAGAATTTGTCTCCTAATAATTATTAGTAAGATTGAATTGTGTATTCAGTCTCCCCACACAGCAAACACTGAAATGTACCAGACCATATAATACCTTTGAAGTCCGCCTGTTTCACAATATTAAAGTGTTTTACAAAATCATGCAATGTATTCTTTAGTGATGTAATGATGCAAAAAGTCCTGGCCCTTTATTCCTCATGATGATTACATGTTCTGTTAATTCTCTCTGAAGTACTTGGCATTGACCACTGTTGAAAGATAGAATACTAGGCTAGATGGACTTTTGGTTTGACTGAGAATAGCCATCCTTATATTCCTGACCCACCAATTCAATTCTATCGAACATCACTTTTTTTTTAAAAACGAGACCATAAAATTGGAGGAAAAGGGGGAGTGTCCCTTTCTGTAGGATAGAAGGAATTTTAAAGTCTCAGATCTGTACATTTAACACTTCACATTAGTAAATTCCCTCTTTCATAATGATAGAACAACAGATAAAAAAAGAATCTGGGAATCTCTCTCTGACAAGAAAAGGAGTCAGAGTATGGAATGTACTTATCTGCATGGTTTATTAATATTTCCTTTATTTAAGTAAGCTCTCTACTGACCCAATTACCACAGCATTCTGGAATGTTACTGTAGTGTTTTTTTTATAATATGAGGTGGCCCAAAAGAGTGAGACAGAAGAAAACTAAAAGAGCCACTTAAATTTACTAGCCTGATTCTAAGAGGAAATGATAATTTTACTTGTTAGTATAGTAGATCATGTTTCTACAGTAATTTTTCCCAGTCAGAACATACAGTACTGCATCCTGCTTAATTGCATCTGGCCTGTATAATTCTCCAGACCGTACCTTCCTTCAAAAGCAATTTTTAAAAATTCCATTAAAATACTTCTGTGCATTAATTAGATACAATGCACATTTGGCCTCAAATGAAAAAAAAGCCTTAACTTTATTGCAAGTTATATACCTAAAGTTTGATAGCTATGCATGCTGCCTACTTTTACCTTTTTTATTGCAAGTCTCACAAAATTTGGTGATTTTTCTTGAGGTCTGTGTTCCAAAAGTTATATGAGAACTCAGCTTTCATTTAAAAAAAGTTTTGGCCATTGTGGAGAAAAGCTCGGACTTATGAGCTATAACAACTCATGCTAGAAGAAAGCCAGCAGAGTACAACTTTAATCATGATTGTTAGGGCCTCACTCAGATTTTCCAACTCTTAGGCTTGACACTATCAGATGTCTCAGAAGAATATGGAGTCATTCCAGCTAGCAGTTTCAGAACTAGCTACAGATTATGGGTGCCTCACTTTTTGGCTGCTCAGTCAGACATCTTGGATGTAATTTTCAGATTAGCTCAGCATTCACAACTCAAATCCATGGGAACTACAGATGTTCAGCACCTTGAGGGAGAGAAATCTTGACAGTGTGAAAAGGGCAGCCAAAAACTGAGGTGCCAAAAAAAAAAAATCTTAAACAGTGGTCACATTTGGGAGTTTGCATCTTAGCTTTTTATTCACCAAACAAGAAAACACAAAAATAACAAATCCAGTCCTGTGAGATGATAGTCACACACAATACTCACTGACTTCAATGGACGTAGAAGGGGCTCAACACATAGGACTGGGCCTCTAGTCAGAACTCCCAAGCAAAATTCTTATTGGAGTCAGTCAATATTTTGCTTGAACCAGGAAGTGTGAATGAGACCCTGAGCCATCATATCTGACAAGTCTTTCCTCCCAAGAAACACGTTTACACCAAGAAACAAGAATCTTTTTATAGCGCGCTGAGAAATTAATTCATGATCTCTTTGTAATTCTGAAAACAAACATGTAAAAAAAAGTGCTCAGATAAAGAATTGGACTTTATTGAAAATGGGAAAAATCTGATCTTTGAGAAGTCATTTCTCTTTTAAACATTCATTGTTTCCCACTGTAAAAAACACAATCAGTTTCTGACCTTAGTTAAACAAGAGAATTACTGTAGATTTCCAACTATGTAACTGACATTAGAATCTGGTCCATTGCCTCCTTAATACAAAATGAACACTTTGTACTTATAGCACTTCAAACATTAATCTCCTCAATGCTCCTGTGAGAAAGGCTTACTCAAAAGAGCTTTTCCCATTACTTTGCAAAGTATCTTTTTAAAAGGTATCTGTGACTGAGTATTTCAAGTTCTGGAGGTTTCAGTTGTAAAACTAAACCTGTGAAGGGTAATATGTCAGGGTGTCATTACAGATAGACAACTCCTCAGGTCCGGAACTCCAGTCATTTTGCAGTATGTAGGATTCAGCCTCTGCATGGGTACAGTTTCTCAGCTCTAACTCTTTGGTGAAACAGAATTCAATCTGCCCAATTGTTTGCACTTCTTCACCCTAGAAACAGTAAAAATGAGATACACAGCTTTTAAAGGCACTTGCAAAGGCTTCTTGGTGTTAGAGGTGAAAATAAGCAAACCCGGTAGATACAGATTGCTCGTTCTTATGGCATACTCAAGATACACAATAAAACCTGTGTTATCTGGCCCTGTATCAGCTGGAAAGCTCTATAAATCAGCATTCCTAATCTTCATGGAAAGTCTGGATTTTAGTCTGGTTATCGTGGGGCCGGCAGGCAGCCTTTCTGGAGCCATGTGGCTTCCCAGAAGCAATAACATGTACCTGCTCCTCCTAGGTGGAGGAACAGCCACAAGGGGCTCCATGCAATCCCCCTGCTCCAATGTAAGCATTGGCTCCATAGCTCCCATTGGCAGGGAACCACTGGCAGGGAGCTGTGAAGGAGGTGCCTGTAGGTGGAGGTAGCATAGAGAGTTATCTAGGTGCGCCTCTGCCAGGAGCAACAGTCACAGGTTGCTACTTGCAGGGATCCATCTAATGTGAGTATCCCATGTCCAGTACCCAAAAACCTCTCTTGCACCCCAACCCTATGCCTTGAGTCCCCCCCTCCTCACACCCAACTCTCTCCCTCTTAGTTAACCAGATTTTTACTCTTACCTGCACCCACCATCTCTCAACATACAAAATAAAGCTTTTACTGTATCACTGTAAAGTTGCAGGTAAGTCATTTTTTCTGGAAATATCCACTGTGTTCAGCTCATAGTATAGACATTTTGTCCCCTTTGTGCAATTCACAAAGTGTGCAAGTAAATGAATCCATTTGGATACCATTGGGTATAATTTTGTAAGATTCTTACTAATGGGAAGGTTTCATTTTCACTGATAAAGAGATCCGTTATCACTGTAGTATCTGAGCACCCCATAAAATGAAGAAATATATTGGATTTTCTTTGTATGGAAATAAATGCATGCACACCCAGTTTATGCCATAAATTAAAAGATTCAATCTGGCAAACATTACCAATCCCAGTGCTTACTATAGCAGAAATGCCACTTACTTCAGTTGGGTAAATTACAGTGAGAAGTATTATTGGTAGTAAGTATTTGCAGGATTGGATTGCAATGTTGTTGCAAGTACTATTAGCGTCTGAATTGTTTACCTTCTACTCCTTTATTGCCAGCAATCCCATAGTATTGGTGTGTGTTCTTGTTCTCTCTCTCTCTCACACACACACACCCCTACTTCTGTTATAACTCTGACCCAAAGTAGTTCTTTGCAAGAGTTAGAAGCCTGAGGAAACACTTGTATATTTTTCTCAATTAACCTACAACCTAAATATTGTACAGAAGCAAATTCCATAGCTTGATTATATGTTCTGTAAAGATGTATGACCCTTTATCATTTTAAAATTGCATCTAGAGTCCATTTATTTTGTAATTAGACCGTAAACTCTTTAATATTTCTGCATACATTTGCATAGCACCTATTACAATGGGGTACCAATTGTGACTAGGATCTTACGACACAGTTGCATTAGAAATAAAAAGTATGATAGCAGCATTTGAGCAGTCTCCATGACAGCAATTACTGTTTGCACCACTATCATTGGCTCCCCTATTAGTCCTTTCCAAAACTGAAATATCCTGTCTTTAACCTGTTCCCACAGATACAGCCTCCCTTGATTAAAAGCATTGGAGCAACTTCCTGTTCCCGTTGAAGTTGATGGCAACACTCCAGTTTTCATTCGTTGTTTAAAAAGTCCTTAAAAGAGAGGCTGCTGGCTTTAATAGTTTGCAGGTCTTGCCCATATGCTCAGTGTCTCATTGTTTGCCATAGGTGGAATCGGGAAGGAATCTTCCCCTGGGTCAGCCTGAGAAAGACTCTGGGATTTTTTTCACTTTCCACTGCACCACAGGGCCTGGGTCATTTGTTCATTAAACTAGTATAACTGGTTGGTTCTCTATAACTTGAAGTCTTTAAATCTTGATGTGAAGACTTCAGTAACTCAGCCAGAAGTTATGGATCTAGTACAGAAGTAGTTGAGTGAGGTTCTGTGGCCTCAGACTAGATAATCATGATGGTTCCTTCGGATCTTAGAATTTATGAGTCTGTGATCTAGAGGGTTTAAGTGTGAAGAAGCAGGGGCTGAGTACAAAGACTCAGAATATTGCTAAAGCAAATTAACTTGACAACACAAAAGATATTCCACTCAATGCAATTTTATCTTGGAATGGTTTTCATGAAATAGCTTTCTGCGTGTGTGAGAACTCAGCCAAATGTTTTCTAGCAAAACAGCTTTATTAAACTGTGATAAAGGGAGTCTAGTGACAGTTAGAGATGTTCTGTGACCTTTTTAGTAGGGCTGTCAATTGATGTGCATTAACGCCTGCGATTAACGCAGGGAAGGTTTAACGCATTAATTTTTTTAACGTGCTAATCGCAGGCATTAATGCTGCACTGCCCCTTTGAAGCACTGGGATGGCCTTTCCAAGGAGCAGCTGCACTGAGCCTAGGGTCAGCTGAGGACTCCAGCTGATCCTGGGCTCCCATGGTGCTGCCATTTTGAAATACCGCTGCAGAGTTTCAAAGGGGCAGTGCGTGCGATTAAATTTTTTAATCGTGCGATTAATTGCAATTACATTTTTAATCGCTTGACAGCCGTACTTTTTAGGAAAAGTCACATCACAAAGTGATAGTGAAAAGGGGAAGAAAAAAAATCAGTTATATCCAACTAAAATCAATGACATATGCATCGTTTTGAACTCCAAGTATAATTTATTGTATTTTGGTACAGATAGGTAGAATTGTATTTTTGCTGTTGTAATATACTGATAGTGTGCGCACTAAATTCTCTACTGCACACTAGCTCGTAGATCAGCTGCTGGCAAGGAAAAGGAAAATGGAACTAGACTGTTAAGCAGCATTGACTGGAGAAGGCAGGCAGACAATTTAACTCTGTCTTTCTGAAGACAGAAAAGCTTGTTTAAATTTCTCTGAACAGGAATTCTTTGAGGTAAGCTTTTGAATTTGCCATGATCCACATGTATACCAGACAAAGGCTTTTTATACTTAGTAGGACAGAATTAAAATTTGGTCTGAGACAGGTGACAAGTACTATATGCTCTGAGGTAAATACATTTCAGGGGATACTTGGATTGTCCCAACACAGAAGCAAAAGAGAGAAGAAAATTATCAGAAGTTAAAAATGTTAATTTAGTCAAGGTAAACCTTTCTCTACTACTTCAATCAACAAAGAAAATAATAAAATAAAGTTTTACCTGTTCTGGAGGAAGGCACTGCACTTTTGGTGTTACTCCATAAACACTTGTAAGGGCTTCTTTTATGGCTGTCATCTGAAGATTTAAAAGCCAGTGAGAGTTGAAAGAAATATAACATTATGTCAACAAATTCCATATTTTTATGGTTACTAAAAGCCTTTGGCATGAAAAATAACTGTAAATAGCTATATAATTAGAAGAAATTACTTATCTGTTGCAGGTTTGAAGCTACCCACTCCTCCTAGCAGAGTTACATTAAAATGATTTTATAAGTATGACAGCTTCTTACCTGGTAATAGGAACTGCTTGGCTTTATCCCAACTTTCAGGAGACAACTGAAATGAATACAAAATGCCTTTTGTGGAGTAATACATCTTACATTTCATGTGAGTCGCTGCATGTGAATATACTACAGCTAACAATGGATAAATGGAGAATCCTAGAGACTGATTAAAGCAAAGGGAATGGAGAATCTCAACTTTCCCTCCTTTTCCAAGCTTGGGGTAACCAGCATTCCCCTTACTTCCCCCTCAAATGCTTGAATCTACTTTAACCACTAGACCTCAGCTATATCTCCTACATCCTCAGCTACATTTTGGAGGGACCCATGGCATTCTCTGCACTCCAGAAATCCAGTCATCTGATACAGGTTACAGCAGCTGCTTACTTCTCTTTTCCCTCAGCTGACTGGAGGGAGCGAGAGGAGTAGGAGTTGTTATGGTCACTCTGTGCTACTAGAAATCGTCTATATACAGTTTAAGGTCACTTCGTAGCAGTGGAACAGCACAAAGTGGCTGGAGTGTGGCCCAGGATTCAGGACCATCTTCAGCTGAAAATAATCAAACATGTTTTCCAGTTAATTTAAACTTTAAAATGTGTTTTTAAAACTATAAGTCAGTGGTCACCAACCAGTAGATCAGGATCTACCGGTAGATCTTGGAGCCTCTGACAGGTGATCCTGACTGGTTTGGCCAGGAAGCTATCAAGTGCTGGCACTTCAGTGGCCCCTCTATCCACTGTCATGTTATTCCTGATCTCTTTCTTGGAGTTGCCCCCTTGCGAGCTTCCTGCTTGCAGTGCAGGATGTGGGAGGGAGAAGAGAGGGGGCGCTGATGTCAGCATGTCCCTCTTCCCCCTGCTTTTGTCCCCTATCTCCACACAGAGAGAAGGGGATACTGGAACCTTGATGTGACGGGCTGGGGTTTGCGCCGCCGGCGGGAAGCAGGGAGGAAGTCGTGCCAGGGGACTGTGGCCAGGGTGCCGTGCTAACCAGTGACGTCTCAGTAGCCGTCGGGGAGCCCCCTATGGGTCAAACCCCGGCTTTGGCTGCCTCCCCACCCTGTCTGGCGCTCCCTGGTGGGCGATGTCACCCACTAAATCAGGGGGAGCACTTTACTCCTCCTAGGTGGCGGAACCGGGAAGGTGGCCGGAAGGGCCCGCACACAGACCCTGGACCAACGGGGTCCAACAGGGCAGTAAGACCAACGATCCCTGCAAAAGGGATCGCGGGCTGGGTGGGGGTTAGGAAGCAGCCTGAGGCAGAGCGCTTCTGGCGCTCATGGGCTGGTGAGCTTCAGGTCGGATCCCCGTCAGCCGGGTAGGGACGAACAACCCCACCCTTAGGGCCCCGGGCTGGGACCCAGTGGAGAAATATATTTTGATATAATGGGCACGTTTAAAGACATGGAATTGCTATTTCAGGATATTTCCACTATCCCAAAATAGCCCCACTGTCTAGACGTAGCCGAACTGTCCTTCTCTCATCTCCCGACCCAACACATATATGGTTGTGGTTACTTCTTTTACTGCTTGCAAAGTGGGTTATTTTTGGTTTTTGACTGGTCTGTGCATTTCATAATTTTCATTTCTCTCTTATGCTTAAATTTAATTCTTTGAGCAGTGAGTTCTAAAATACCTAATCTGTCCTGGCTGGAGTAATTATCCCTGTGGTAATTGCTGCTCCTGGCAGTGACTGGCATGTCTCTGCAGTCCCTGAGAGAGGCAGAGCAGGGGGTCTCCACATGCTGTCCTTGCCTGCAGACACCACTCCTGCAGCTCCCATTGATCAGTAATGGGGAACTATGGTCAGTAGAAGCTCAGTGCCTGTAGATGAGGGGCAGCATATGGTGCCATGGAGCTGCTTTCAGGAGTGGTACAGGACCAGGGCAGGAGTAAGCCTGCCTTAAACCCAATGCTCCAACACCCAGAAGCCATCTCTGTTACGTGGTGCCCAGCCAGAGTCTGCATCCTGAATCCCTGTCCCAGTCTTGTAACCCCTTTCTCCACCCAACCACCTGCCGCAGACTTGAGTTCCCCTGCACCCAAATTCCTTCCTAGAGCTTGCACCCTGAACTCCCTCCAATCCCCTGCCCTGATAGAGTGAGCAGGATGAGGCCTCGGAGCAGGGGAGGGGCAGGGCTGCAGAGAAGGAGCAGAAAGGAAGTGGGGCAAGGGTATTTGGGTTTGAGGTAGATCTTACATTGTATTGAAAAAATGACCTTGTGGTTAAAAAGGTTGGAGACCACTGCTATAAGTAATTCAATAAAGCTAAACAGTATTGATGGGGTAAACCAAAGTACTTTAATGGGTCCCTGTTTTAGTCATCTGAGTTCATGTTTTAGGCATCTAAGTCCCTCTTTTGACTCCTTTGTGATCCTTAAAAATCCCAATGAACCCTGTAGGCACCCACATTCACTCAGCACCTCAGTTTTTGATAGTAAAAGCTCTGTAGGCACCTATGTTCCTGTATCTGTGCATGTGCACTGCTGCCTTTCTCTAGGTGTTCTGATATCTCTCTCCTGCCTACGTCCCAGAATAGTCCATGAACCCACTTAAGTGAAGACGTTGCCCGATCCAGTAGGTGTGCTCGAAGGGTTCCTAATGGACAGGTCCCATACAAAATTCTTCCAGGGCAGGATATCATCTGCCTTGTAACTTTCAGCCTGGTGACTAAAGCACTTGCCTGAAGTTTAGAAGACCCCACTTTTTATTTCCCCCTTCCTTTAGAGGGAGAGGAAAGATTCAAAACATTTCAGGAGAGTGCTCTAACCACTGAGCTAAGAGTATTCAGGTGTTTCCTAATGGACAGGTCCCATACAAAATTCTTCCAGGGCAGGATATCATCTGCCTTGTAACTTTCAGCCTGGTGACTAAAGCACTTGCCTGAAGTTTAGAAGACCCCACTTTTTATTTCCCCCTTCCTTTAGAGGGAGAGGAAAGATTCAAAACATTTCAGGAGAGTGCTCTAACCACTGAGCTAAGAGTATTCAGGTGTGAGTTTCCCTCTTCAGATAAATAATGATAGAACGATTGGAGAAAAGGGACTGGCCCCAAGGTCTCCCAGCTCCAAGATGAGTGCCCTACTAACCAGACTGTAGACTCAGTCTCTCTCCCCATGACAATTCCACTGTGGGTATTTAAATCATCATTGGACCAGACACAGAGAGGGGGACTCTGTAGTCCAATGGTGAGAGCACCCACTTGAGAGGTGGGAGACCCTCGGGACCAATACCCAACTCTCACTTCTCATTGTATATCCACATTGGAGCAGCATCAACAGGAAAGACTGAGAGAAATTCACATCTACGTATCCCTGTCATAGTTCAGTGCAACGTCACCTGTATTTCCCCCTGGTGCTCCAGCAATGACTCTCAGGCTTCCAGCTCCCCAGTCGTCACCTCTCTAGCCTGCTAATTGGGATATTTTCAGGTGGCACAGTCCCCTGCCTACACTGTGAATTCTCCAGCAAGGCAGACTGCCTAAGCAGGCCTGCTTTGCTTTTTTCCTTAGAAAAAGTTCCTACTTCAAAGTAGGACTAAGAGATCCTCCGGAATAGGGCTTTATTCCGGAGGATCGGGCCAGTCTAGACGCTTTTTTCCGGCTTTTCCCCAAGCCGGAGAAAAGCGACGGACATCTTTATTTAAATCCCGCGGGGGATATTTAAATCCCCCACGGATTTCCCTATTCTGAGGTTGAAAATTAGCATGCCCCTTTCGGAAAAGGGGCCAGTGTAGACATAGCCATAGAGTGGGTCTTGCATTACAATAGTAATATTCCATTTGGGTATACTAATCTTCTTGTCACTTTTGGAGATGAGCCACATCCATTCTGATTTAATTTGCACTGATGTCATACTCCCATCTCTGTATCCTTTTTCACCCTTCTTTCTCTCTTTTCTCTTCAGCATCTGAGGAAGTAAGCTGTGCTCACAAAAGCTCATGCCCTAATACCCTAATAAATGTGTTAGTCTTTAAAGTGCCACCGTACTCCTTGTTTTTGTCCGAAGGCAGGATACTGGGCTAGATGGACCTTTGGTTTGACTCAGTATAGACTCTTACGATCTAGGAAATGGCCATATCTGTCACAACCCATAAGTCAATAGCTAAAGCCTTCTCCTGAAGAACAGTAGACCCCTCTTCATATACTGTTGCCTCCACCCCAGCAAAGAGGGGGGGAATTGAATCTGGGTCTTCCACATCCCAGGCAAATGCTCTAACCAGTGGGCTAAACATTAGGTGGATAATACCAATTCCTCCTTAAGGCATTTTATGCGGAGAGAGGGAGGCACCTCATTCCTGTCTTAGGCAACTAACCCATCTAACGCTAGGCAGCAGATGTCCTTAGGCATCTCTCTCCACCCTGGACTTAGGTGCCTATCTCTGAGAGGGCTCAGTACACCCCCCTCTGATTTGCTGAGGCAGCTCCCCAGCTATCATGCTGGCTTTATCAATGACATTCTTAGACACCTATCTCTCCTTATTCATTGTATAGGGACCCTAGGCACCTAACTCAAACTTGGTGGATCACGGTGTTGGTGCTATTCTTTCTTGGTGCCTAAAAGTTATATACTGTGTATATTTAGCATTGCAATGCCTAGTCCCTTCATAGGTCATGGCCTCCAGAACCTGAAATTGGTATACCACATTCCTCTAGGCCTTACTCTAAGAGAAGCTCAATAATTAATTTGCTATTAAAACCAGTGGGCCATGTCCCAGCAATCGGAGTTCAACAGGAATTGTAAGTGTTCAGCAGTTCTCAGGGTTTAGCTAAATGAAAACGGATAGTGCTCAGTATCTGACAAGATCAGGTTCTGTACACATCAGTTTTAATGAAATTGACTGAAGGCATCTTTACAATAAGTGACTGTCCAACTCAGTCATTTGATGCTGGGTTTTTGCTGGTTGATACCAAGCAAAAATAACTATCTTCCAACAACCTGAAGTCATTACCTCAAAGAAAATACTTTAAAAAATGCAGTTGTATCATTATACTGGGATTGAAAGAAGAGTAGAGTAATTAAAAGAAACAATTCTAGCTGTAAACGTTGCTGTTGGAATTTGCAAATGAATGCAATAAGAATGTTTAATTTAATAATCACTGAAAGAATAATGAAGAATGTTAGTGCTCTTTTTTTAAGTGATAAGAAAAAAAACAATAGCTGTTAACTTCAAAATTTTTCAGTCTCCACTCTTTGTTTCACAAAGCAACAGTCACTTAACACTAAAAGCTCTACTGTCGGTCATTGTTCCATTTGCAAATCATTCCTTAGTCACATTGTAAAAAGCATCCAGGACAATACAGTTTAGGCAATTTACTAATCAGACATATTTAAACTGATTTTATTATTATATCTGACTTTGTCAAGACATAGGCCTAGAAAAATCTATGACTGCATATCAGAAGGAAGCTACACAGGCTGGTAAGGATGAAAATCAGTATTTCATATTGTTCTGTGTATGTACAAGGAGTAAAAAAACATGGTAATGATAAGCAGCCTGAATTAGAAAGCAAAACAATTTTTTTAAAAGTCACTGTTTAGGTTAAGTACTGAAGGATTTTTTCCTTCTCTTAGAAGGCAGTTTTTGTTACATATGGAAGGCATCTTGACTGTTAAAATATGGGGCCATGAAGACATTTTCCTCATCCTGTCAACAGGAGGGACCTAAGGTTTTTCTTTTTGCCCTTTTCCCCCCCTGTAAACAGCACTGTACCACTCAGGGTACGTCTGGACTGCAAGCTTCTTTTGAAAGAGACTTTTTCGAAAGAGCTTTTCTTTAGAAAGAGAGCATCCACACCTCAAAATCAGATCGAAAAAATGATCTGCTTTTTCAAAAGAATGTCCAGACTACTTGGACGCTCTTTCAAAAGAAAGTCCTGATTGCTAGTCACAGAATGGCCACCAGGGCACCTGTGCTTTTTCGACTGCCTCTTCGTTCGAAAAATGTCCCTCTTCTGCGTCCACACACGCCTTTTTTTGAAAGAGCTCTTTCAAAAAAGGCATTCTTCCTCATAATTTGAGGTTTACCAATGTCGAAAAAAATCCTGCATTCTTTCCATTTAATTGCGAAAAACACAATTGCAGTGTGGACACAGGTGAAATTTTTTTTTTTTTTTTTAAAAAGGGCAGTTTTTTCGAAAAAACAAAGTAATCTAGACATACCCTCAGAAACCTGAGCAAAAGTAAGACTTAAGTAGTATCACAGGGTGGCTGGCCCTGAAGTCAGTCCAGCTCTGCTGGGCTGGAACAGCTGATCCTAGCGTGGTCAGCTCAGAGAGAAGAGCACAATCATGGCTTTCCAGAATACAAGCTCTCCATGTAAATATAGCCTACGTCCTTTGTTCCTATATGCATACATATACATTTATGTTAAGCCATGTTAACACGCACTGTACACAACTTACCAAGTGATCCACATCCATATCAGGGACCTGTCTTTGCCATTATTTACCACCACCCCAAATTTTGTATCATCTGCAAACTTTATCAGTGATTACTTGTTTTCTTCCAGGTCATCTATCGATCTATTTTAGAAATGTCCATCTGTCTGTGAGTCTGTTTGTTCAAGAACGCCTCCTAAACAGTAAGCACTAGGACCACCAAATTTGGTATGCAGCTTCCTCTTCTCCTAACTAGGGATGCAAGCAACTAGTTGACTATCCGATAAGCAATTGCTTATCAGATAGTAATGTTGACTAGTCGATTCCCCTCCCCCCTGCTGCTTCTTTAAAATGGAGGGAGGAAAAGTCACCACCCCAGCATCATCTCTGCCTCTGCTTTCCCTGACCTCTGCACAGTGGGAAACGGCGCGAGCAGGGATTGATTCAGTCCCCACACACACCCATTCCCACTGTGAATGCTCTGCTTTTGAAATGTACCAGAGCCCTGGCTCTGGTACATTTCAAAAGCAGAAGTGCCACAGGGAGCATGGGGTGACCAAGGACTCAATCAGTCCCCGCTATCATCTCTGCCTCTGCTTTCCCTGACCTCTGCACAGTGGGAAACGGCGCGAGCAGGGATTGATTCAGTCCCCACACACACCCATTCCCACTGTGAATGCTCTGCTTTTGAAATGTACCAGAGCCCTGGCTCTGGTACATTTCAAAAGCAGAAGTGCCACAGGGAGCATGGGGTGACCAAGGACTCAATCAGTCCCCGCTCTCCCCATGCTCTCTGCGGCACCCCCACCTTGCTGCCTCTCAGAGAGGCAGCAAGGAGAGGACAGGAACTGGTGCTGGTGGGAGCCGGCTTAAAAGCCAGTTCCCCCCAGCACTGTCTCCGGGATGCTGCCTGCCCTTTCCCCCAGGGTATGTCTACACTACCAGCCTAGTTCGAACTAGGGTGGTTAATGTAGGCAACCGGAGTTGCAAATGAAGCCCGGGATTTGACTTTCCCGGGCTTCATTTGCATATTGCCGGGCGCCGCCATTTTTAAATGTCCGCTAGTTCGGACTCCGTGCCCGCGGCAACACGCGGCACGAACTAGGTAGTTTGGATTAGGCTTCCTATTCCAAACTACCATTACTCCTCATTCATTTGCAACTCCGGTTGCCTACATTAACTACCCTAGTTCGAACTAGGGTGGTAGTGTAGACATACCCCCACTGCCTCTATCAGGACGAAGCAGCCCCTGTCTGCAGGGGTCCCAGCAGGGAGCTGGTCCCTCCCCCTGCAGACAGGGGCTGTTGCTTCCAAACCACCCCTGTTCACAGCAGACAGGGCTGGCAGCAGACAGGGGCTGCTGGACTCAGCACAAGCTGGGACCGAGCAGTCCTGGCTCACGCTGATGCTGCGCCTCTGCATTTTAAATGTAGTAAGAATCCAGCAATTCTTACTACATTTGAAATGCAAAGCCATAGCATGGGTAGCTCCAGAGCCTGCATGAGCCAGGACTGCTCAGCCCCAGCTTGTGCTGGCTCCTGGAGCTACCCCTACTATGGCTCTGTAGAGGCGCTTATCGACTAATCCTATAGTCGATACAAATTGTATTGACTCTACAATTATCCAGATCATCGCATTTTAACATCCCTAATCCCAACTTAAAGCAAGGTCAGGGTTTGTATGTGCCAAGAAAACAACATCTGCCTGGAATGGGATTGTTTTCCATGACACAGAAAGTGATGAGTCTGCTAGGAGAGACAGTCACACTGCAGAGTGACCACAAGGGGGCGACTGCAGGCGGGGGGAGGAGCTCTGGCTGTTGCCAGCCACAATCTATGGATAAGGTTCCTGTGCTAATGCTGGGCAGGGTCCCCCCACCCCTCTTGCTAGGCCCCCAACCCCATAGCACAGGACTGTCCTTACAAACTATGGCTCCCTACACAACTGAGGGCTCCTCCCTGTTTCTGCCCCAAGCCTTTCCACCTCCCATGCAGCTCCTGGACCTAGGTTTCCTGCCTTCCCTTCCCTCCTGGCTCGTCTCCAGATGAGGGTGGGAACTGGGGCTTCCCACCCTTCCCCACCCCCTCCACACAGGGTTCTTACCAGGACTGAAACCATCCTTCTCTCTCTCTCTCCTCCGCACCTTGTGAGGCTCCACATGGGAGCTGGGGGCTTCCCTCTCTTCCCCATGCAGCTCCTAACAGAGGCTGAGGGCTTCCCTCCCGCCTGGCACCGAATGAGGACCATGGGGCTTCCCTCTCACTCTTCTTCCCCGTGCAGCTTACCAGGACTCGGTGCTTCCTTGGGGCTGAAGCAGAGCTGCAGAGGCTGGGGTTCCTCTCTGCAACAAGTCTCACAGCAGGTAGCTGACAGCAGCACACACGGGAGAGGGCAGTGAAAAGCCCTGCAGCAACTCCAGGCGTACACGTTCAGAGGGCTGAGTAGGGGCGCCTGAAGATGCTGCAAAGCCCCTGCAGCCATGTGCTGGCTTGGGGAGAAGCCAGCAGGCAGCCTGCACCCGCCCTCATCCCAGCCCCAGGCAACACTGGGTATGTCTTCTAGTTGATAAATATATTAAATAGCTTAGGGGCAAGTACCAATCCCTGCAGGATCTCTACTGGAAACACAGCCATTCAATGGTGATTCTTGGTGTACAGTTACATCTTGAGACTCCTCAGTTTGCCAAGTTTTAAGATATTAAATGTGTGCCATGTTAATTTGATATTTTCATTTTTAATCAAAATATTATGTAGTACCAAATACCTTATGAAAGTGAGTATATTACAGCAAGATTATCTTTTATAAACTAACCTTGTAACCCCATCAAAATAAGATATCAAGGTAGTTTGACAGGATCTACTTTCCATAAGCCTATGTTGATTATATTACCCTCCTTTAATTCTTAACTGAGTCCCTTAACAGCTGCTCCATTATTTTGTCCAAGACTGATCTCAGACAATCTCCCTGTTATATGGTTTTCTTTTCTAAAATATTGGCAATCAATATTAAATATTTTGAATCACGACACGCTTATGCAGGCTTTATATGGGACATCTGCATGCAGCAAATTTGTACATTCCAGCAGGGAACCGAGAAGCATAACACGGTGGGGGGGGGGGGTCGATTGGCAAAGAGGGAGTGGCCAATGTTCCCTGTAAACTAAACACTTTGACAGCTGCCCAGGAGAAAGTCAAATGATGCCTAGCTGATTAGCAGAGTGCCCACAGCCGGTAGCATGTGTTTCTACTTGTGGTGCACATCTGCACATGCCTTGGTGCACGTAACAAAATTTATTCTGCACACAGGTGGAAAAAATATTAGAGGGAGCATTGGGAGTGGAACTTTAAAAGGTATTGCTAATTAAATAGAACAATTTGCCCTAACTTCTTAGGTTTATATTCCATCTAAAATTTTACGTTTAGCCACCAGTGTGTTGGAGCTGGCTCTAGAGTATGGTATTCAACACAACTGGCATCAGTCCATTTTTCAAAAGCAAAGTGATATTTTTACGAATTTTTCTTTGTTGTTGAGTGTACATCAAAGACTTTTACACCATTGACATGAAAAGCAGACAGAAGGGGTAGATTTCCATACCTGTTGAGGTCAAGTTTTTGGTAGAGATCCAGTGTTTTACCAAAATATTTCTTCTGAGAATTAAGAGACTCCACGGTGGCTGCACAGGTCCCATGTTTCTCCCACTCATGCTTCCTAAGAGAACAAAGCTAAAATCAGTTTTTAAGAGACATAAGAAGCCCAAGAGACTGTCCTTTTAAAATCAAGAGTTCTTAACCAAATATTAGTGTAAGAACAAGCATCTGACATGTGACATTCATAACTGAAACAGGTGATAATCATCTCCCCTCTCACAAAACATTTCACATACAAACAGCTA